TTACAGGCCTCTCTCATCTTTTTAAGTGGGAGAACTTGCACAATTGGTGGCTGACTAAATACTTTTTTTCCCCACTGTATACCCCAAACTCAGCCAAAACCTAAAAAAACTCCATAAAATTCACTGTGCGTGCTCCTCTAAGACCTATCACCCTTGACCTGCTGAAAACCCAATTTGAAAAACAACAACCACAAATAGCCAGGCCTCACTTTATTTGGTAGCTCACTTTTATGACCTAAATACTGCCTAACTTCACTACTGCTCCCCCTAGCCCTGGGCAACATTCCAATGAGATGAGCTAATCTCTTTCTCCTGGTTATAATCTAAAGATGGTAGTACACACAAAACATGATACAGATATCCCCAGTCTTAACCCATCAATAATTGTTTGTATCAATCTAATTCCTCATAACTAATCCATAAAACACTCAAAATTCCTCGAGTATACAATGATTATTTAATTGATTACCCTAACTCTGCTACCTGTGATCTCATCTCAAATGATCCATTATCAATTATTTGTTCAACCCCCTAGGAAAATCTGTCTCCCCTTCTATTGTTCCTGTCCCCCCTGTAAATGTCATATTTCAGTTTTTAGCCAATACAATCACGGTTACATCAAAAGTAATGCAATGTCTATATTAGGGTGTAAGGTAAATTATTCCTGTTTTCTTTTTTCAGCTAAACGTTTTATATCCCTCAGTTAATGGTATTTTCTCCCTAATATATCTTCATACTCTTCTTCTTTCGCTAAATGAGATTTAATCCCTTGCCTTTCCTCTACTATCCTTCTATCATTACTGGATCAATGATAATAACTGTAATAACTATTCATAATAATTGTAAAACCTATTACACATTATATTGTGCCTTTTTTCTGATAATGTTATAATTGTAGCCTATTCCATCACTTTAGTTTAAAATATAAGTTTGTTTATAACAAATCCAGAACCCACCACAAGCTGGCGCTATTCCCCCAGCACAACAGCCAATGCCACTTGCATCCCACAGCTCAACCCAACTCGCTTGACTGTCTCTATCTTATTATTTCAGTTCGCTATTCAATTTCTTTAACTGTTCTCTCTGATTAGGCCCTAATTAATAAAACACTATCTAGAATTTACCAACACACATTTAATTCACATCCCTATCATTTTTGAACTATGTACTGTCTCTCACCCCCCTGCTCCTTCGGGGAAAGCGCAAGGGGACCTTGTAACATATTTTCATAGACCTTTCTAGAATACTTCTACTTAAGCTATCTAATTCAACCTTTCACATTTCCCAATCCACATAGTAATCTAGGTCTATAGCCCCAATGCGAAAGCTTTACCTACTGTCCCTACCTGTGTTCGAACCAGGAACCCTCTACATACATCGCCAGTCACTCCACACCATCTGCGATTCTCTTAAAGCAACTACTTCCAGTTCATAGAGCAAGTGACGTCACCAAATGAAAATCGCACTAGCTTTCACCTCAGCAAAAAACTCTCTCTCCCTTCACCCATTCCCTATTGAATAAGTTAGTTTTTCTATTTAACCCCAAAACACGCTACAAATAGTCCATTCAACATTACCAAACCAAATACTCAATAGCATCCGGTCACCACCCACACCAGCCGTTGAATTCACTCATACACACAGACTTCACCGAAATGCCACCGAAATGCCAAATAAACCATAATAGTTCAATGGAGCCCCCTATTGGCTCTCCACTATCTATACATTACTTCCATAACCACATTAGTTATGGTCTGATTACCCATTGAACCTTATCACATGATCAAACAACGGCACAACCTTAAACTCATATGGGGCGGCAGGCAGCTTAGTGACCAATAGCGCCGCGCCAACAACCGAGAGGCCGCTGGTTCCAATCCCCGAGCCGACCAGGCGAAAAATCTGCCGATGTGCCCCTGAGCAAGGCACTCAACCCCAATCGCTCCTGCAAGTCGCTCTGGACAAGAGCGTCTGCCAAATTACCAAAAATGCAAATGTAAATATTCTCTACTTTCTCACCCATGACGTACGTCTACGTTCGGGTGAGCAAGTTCATACGTATATATCGTCAGAAACCCACAGGCACCTCTCAAACAATCGCCCCGTGGTGTTCCCAGCCAACTCCCAGTCTTTCCTGGCTCCAAAAGCCACACTTTCGCTGTCTCCAGCCCCTCCCCTCGCAACTCTCTCTTTCCGTGTCCAGTGGGAACAGGCTTTTTGAGGAGCTGTTTTTCGTTTGAGTGTTTCCAATATTCTGCCGTTATTTAAAGTACTTTAGTCTATTTATTTAAATCAAATTATTCCCACCTAATTAGTTAAAGTCGGTGCATATTTATATTTCAACGATAAACCGAATTATTTTCAGTCTAATTGTTTAACCAGTATTTTGCAGGGTCAAACATCAAACGTTAAATCAAATAATTAACCAAAAAGCCTCAACCCAAGCACCTAAAACCAGTATTATGCTATGTCTAACATCAAACGCCACAGTTCAATCATATCAGCTCAAACGTTTCAGTTCAGTCACACTAGCCATTCATCACTTTAGCTTTATGTTCCCAATTGTTATTAACGGGTTATACGGTTTAAGCAACCACAAACCCAACAGTTATCCCCAAATTATACAGTTTGGACAGCCACAGACGTCTTTGATTCCCAATTAGTTTTCTATCAAGGTATACAGGTTTATCATTCACACTCTCATGCATACGACAACACTCGCACTGTCTAACTATTTATAGTACCTCCTATGAGCCTCTAGTCATAGCTCGCACTCCCATGGGTTTAACCATCACAATTATCAAACATTTGCATAGTATATTATGAAATCGAAGTAGTATACTGTAATCGTTATTTATAGTACAATAGGGTTCACTTACATCAAACAGGTGCTTCACAAAATTAATTTGGATAAAGCCAATGTGCAGAACTTTAGTTACATAACAATAGGTGTCTGCTTACCTGTTTTTAGAAGCCCGGGCACTTTGTGAAACACACGGTTCGAAGACAGTGATGTCCAATAGGCTGGGTGAATTCCAGCGAAGTTCCGCTACCAGATCACAGTTGGAGGTCACCAATTGTTAGAAATTGCGTAATTCAAATCTGGTATTGGAATAAGGGAAAACATAATCAAGAGATATTCAATCCAAGCTACATTTATTATATGCAAAATGTATGTATGATAAGTATGATGGTTCGTATACAGGCTCACTGAAATACCACGCAGGGTAGACAGAGAACTGATCCATTGTTATGAGTTCTTCTTAAAATACTCTGACAGAGATAGTTCCCACTCCCTGCTGGCCAATCAGAGTAGAGACTGAGCGTGGTTTAGACTTACTCAGCCTATCCGTTGGCGCACCGGCTGGTCCCAGCCCCTTGGCGTTCCACTGTTGCACACTGTTGCCAGGCATAAGTTGTTATAACAGCCTGTAGAGTCAGCGCCCATAGACACCGTTCCACTGTACTGTAAGTACCTACGTTCAAGGACGGTTCACAGACAACGGTTCACAGACAACAAAGAGGCAGTGTTCGTATCTGTAAGAAATACAAGTTTTCTCATCCTAGCCCCTAACGTTCCTCACATGAATCACAGCTTGTTATGTGAAACAATTCATATCAGTACAGTATAAACCTTCTATGTTTAATCACCAATGCATTCCTTCTAAGCTATTCATCACATACAGATCCAATTATGAGAAAATAGATCCCCACATGACCCTTGTCTTTCATCAGCGAGAAAGAGTCCTTCAAATAAAAGGTACACTTACTGCAGCAGTTTTGCACAGGTCCATACAGCTATGCGTGCCTCCATTCGACAAAACTACACTTCCCGAGTTGAGCTTACACACAGGTGTTCGGCACATGCTAGATAGCTAATAAGCACAGGTGGTCACCTCTTGTCTTTCTTTAACAAGAGCTGTAACATAGATATGACCGTGTGGGCACATTAACCCTAACCCTATCAAGGTCTGTATCAATTTAACCTTTTGTTTTTTGAAAATAATTTTTCACTGATATGAAAGATAAGGTCCTTATGCTTCCAAAACTATACCGCCAGCCACGCGTTTTAATGTTCAGATTGAGCGTCGGGCTCTTAACAAAACTCCCCCATACAGAAGACGCCTTCATCCAATGATGTGTAATGCAATGGAACTGAGAGTTGTGATCAAGGGCTATACCGGGTAGTGATTACCCTCGCCATAATATTAAAGTAACTGCAGGAAAGCAGTGCTCGGCAGGCGGGGGCGAAGGACATTGTGTGCCAGTGTCTTAGCTAGCTAATAGCCTCAATGGCAGTGGGCGCAGCATGTAGTAAACGTGGTCTGCACATAGACTCTTCTCTGCTAGAAAGACCTCTGTTTATCATCTGATTACCTAGGAAACCAAACATCATGATAACTCTAGTTCCTGAAAGATAGGCTATTCATTGCTCCGTTTTTTTATTGTTCTACTGCAAGGCTCTGATGTAGCCTTGGTCAGGTGATTCATAGCCTAGATATGCATGTAAAAGACAGCCAGTAACTTAGGCCTATTCGCAAACTGTGTGCTGGACTGGTCATCTTTTTCAGTTAGGTTGAATTATGGCCTGAAATGCTAAAAGAAAGTTCAGGATGCCAATGTAATTCCCTTCAATAGTGTTTAGGCTAATAATGCTGATGCATATCGGAGAAAGCTCATTCGTCAGAGAATTTGGATTAGGCCTGACTTTCTGTATTCAACAACACTCCTATATTATGATTTGAGGATGAGACTAGAGGTGCAGAGTGCCCCTCCAATCACTAGGGTTGTTTTGGCTGCAGAGAAAGAGTGGAAGCAAGCGGGAGAGCTATAAATGGATCGGAGAGGTGGGGGGCTTACCGTGCTATCAGGTCTTAGGTCTAGCTGGGGAGGAAGACTTTTTGTCCCCCTAAAAAAATGTCACTGGACAAAGTCTTCGGCAAATGTGCAGAGAATAAACACATGCCTAACTAACACATGTTTCTGTTAACAGGTCCCAAAGTAAAGCAAGGATGTCTGGAGATCTGTCCCTGGACATTAACATCAAGGAGCCGCGATGGGACCAGAGCACGTTCATGGGCCGTGCCCAGCACTTCTTCTTCGTCACCGACCCCAGGAACATCCTAAAGTCCTCTGAGACCCTGGAGGATGCACGGGTTACTGTGGAGAACTACAGGTACAGTGGGAGAAGAAGAGAGGGAAGGAGGAGTGAGGATAACGCGGCGGAACGGGTGTGGGAATGAACTGCTGTCCAGTGAGACACTGAGAACACATGGGTCACTGGGGAGAATTAAAGGTATAGATGGAGGACAGGATAAGGAATTTGTGTAAGGAGGGGTGAGGTCTTGGGAAGGAAAATGATACCTTGGAAAGCCACTGCATTACTCCTACTCCTCTCTCTGTACAAAGGGGTGTGTGGTGCCTTGGGAGGAATACCTTTACATTATCGGAAGCATCAAACCAAAATCTATTGACTCTGTGGCTCAAAATGCATTCATGTATGAGCATGGAGACAATCTACAGCAGTGTCTCTGAACTGAAGAGTTCAAGACGCTAGCTAGCTGTCATCTTAACCTGATATCCCCCCCCCCCCCCCCCCCGGCATAATAAGAGAAGGAAACAAACAACATTTGACAGACAGACCACTAATTAGGCTTGGCCTGTAAGTTGGAACATCTGATATACTGGTTTCTCCCTTACACCAGAGATTGTCTGAAAACACACAAATAAATGTGTAAGTCTAAGCCGTGCCTTTGTTATGAACAAATGCAAAAATGGGCACATTCCTTTAAAACAACGGATGTTCTTCTTTAATGCTTTATGTTAAAAAATTGTAGGCAGGGTAAGCCTTAGCCTCTATTTATGATAGCACATGTTGAATCAAAGATAACAATTATTTGCCCCAATGCTAAGAATTTCTGTCTCATTCATTCAGTCACTGTTTAAAGAGTTTGATGTACTTGTGTCCCAGGTTAGGAGTGGTGAAGCCAGGTCTAACAGAAGATGAGCTGTGGAGAGCCAAGTACATCTATGACTCTGCCTTCCACCCTGACACTGGAGAAAAGATGGTGGTGGTGGGACGCATGTCTGCCCAGGTCCCCATGAACATGACCATCACCGGATGCATGCTCACATTCTACAGGTAATACTAGGGTGTATTCAGTTTTCAATTTAATACATGTTAAATACAATTTGTTTGTAGCATAAGACACAGAACATGTAAACACAATCAAAAAAGATCAGATGAGGTGAAATTGTCTAAGAGAAAAATGCATAGATCATGTAAAATGTTAGAATTGTCATTTTACTCAGGACACAGCTATTGTGGATGACGTGGATAGATTTCATGTTCTGAGTACCTCACCCTCTAACTCAAAATTTCTGCTCAGAGGGCAAGACCAGAGTAACATACTGCAGCTATTTTTGGGTGTGATGTGCATACAGTCCCCGCTTATAAATATCTGGATTGATGAAAATGTTATATTTTGAAAAAGCATACGGATGAGTTAGTTGAGAATAAAAATGGGCTTCTTCAGAAATAGATCATGCCTCTCCCTGAATAGCAGAAAGCATATCATTCTGTCAACTTTCCTGCCAGTGCTAGACTATGGTGACTCCATTTATATGAATGCAGCTACCACTACAGTGAAGCCATCAGATTCAGTTTACCATAGTGCAATTCACTTTATTACGGGTGACGGGTTCAGTACACATCATTGCATCCTATATCAGAATGTAGGCAATCTTAAGTTTCGTAGATCGATGCATAGCACCTTTTTTGTTTATAAAGCCCTCTTGCACAAACTTCCACCGTACCTTACTTCATTGTAAAACTACAGACTAACGAGTCACCAGACCCGATCACAAGGATGGCTAAATCTAGAGGTCCCGTTTTACCACAGAATAAGGTAAATCTGCATTCTGTGTTTTTCCGGCCCATGTATGAAATGATCTGCTCCTCTGCACCTTGAGGCTGTTACCTCTAGGGCAGTTCAGGTTGTTGATGGAGGAACTCCGTGTTTTGGAATGTGATTGCTTTTCTTAAATTGCTTGTAAATATGTACTTTTTTTATGCGTTGTACTTGTGCATTTGTATGATTTGTGTACATGCAGGGCTCCCTTGAAAAAGAGGCCTAGGTCTCAATGGGATTTCCCTGCTAAGATGAAGGTTACATTTATTTTTTTGTCACACTGTAACACAATTATGTAAACACTGCATGGAAGTGGAAAGTGACATTTTTATTTATTTTACAAGTTGTGATTTAGCTTTGTTTTCTATGAGCAATTCAAGCAATCTGCCTCTGAATTAAATATCAGAAATGATGAATGCTTACTCTCACTTTCCTTCTCCCCCTTTCCTTCTCCCCATTTCCTTCTCTCGTCTCTTCCCTTGCCCTACCCTTCTCTCCCATGTTTACATAATTGTGACTTTCCATATCCCCTCCCTTTTATCTCCCCTTTCTCTAATCCCTTTACCATCTCTCACCTTCTCTCCTCCCCTCTCTCACCCTTTTTTACCCTCTCTCCTCCCACTCTCCTCACCTCTCTTGAACCTCTCTCCTCCAGGACGACTCCAGCGGTTGTGTTCTGGCAGTGGGTGAACCAGTCCTTCAACGCTGTGGTCAACTACAGCAACCGCAGTGGAGACGCTGCCCTCACCACCAAGTAGGGACTGGGACCACTTACACCACAACCACATTACTAAACCAGCCCTACTGTACCTGTAATTGGCTAGTACTAGGGTGCATCTCATAGCCTTAGCTACTGTATCTTCCTCTCCTCATCTGCTTTCCTTCATCAGTACTGATCTGAAAGGACATGGATAGGTGGGAGCAAATCCCCATAACATTTCCACTCTGTTGCTTTCACCTGTCTTCTCTTTTCCCAATGGCGCAGATGAAGGAAAAGAGACAAGGAGAGAAGACCATAGTAGACTATTGAGATGCACCCCTAGCCTATCTCTGTATGGAGGCCTCCTGTCCTGCAGGGCAAAGCAGAGGCTAGCCAGTGGAACCCCAGTCCACTACACTCCTCCCCTTACAGCGGTATAATACCCCACTCTTCAGCATGCTCATCCATTCCACCTGAAAGGCTGTAGCTGTACCCCTCCTTCCATGTCTGCAGCAGGTAGAGGAAGCAAGGCATTTGCATACGTGTTTCTGGTCTGGGGCCATATGCATCAAGCGTTTCAGAATAAGAGTACGGATCTAGGATCATGTCTCCCCTGTCCATGTAATCTCATGCATTGTGATCTAAAAGGCAGAACTGATCCTAGATCAGCACTCCTACTCTGAGATGTTTAATACATACAGCCCCGGTATTGAGGCTTTACAAATCCGGGCTGCATCTCAATAGTCTAAAGTGGCTTTCTCTCATCTGCACCGATCTGAAAACACATGATCGGTGAAAGCAACAGGTTTCCACTATCAGGAGATTTCGCCTGTCTTGTTATTTCAGATCATTGCAGATGAAGGGAAGGAGACAAGGAAAGGGTGCCAATTTCGACTATTGAGATGCACCTACACTACCGTTGAAAAGTTTGGGGTCACTTAGAAATGTCATTTTTTTCGAAAGAAAAGCTATTTTTTGTCCATTAAAATAACATCAAATTGATCAGAAATACAGTGTAGACATTGTTAATGTTGTAAATGGCTATTGTAGCTGGAAACGGCAGATTTTTTATGGAATATCTACATAGGCGTACAGAGGCCCATTATCAGCAACCATCAGTCCTGTGTTCCAATGGCATGTTGTTTTCTAATCCAAGTTTATAATTTTAAAAGGCTAATTGATCATTAGAAAACCCTTTTGCAATTATTTTAGCACAGCTGAAAACTGTTGTGCTGATTAAAGAAGCAATAAAATTGTCCTTCTTGAGACTGGTTGAGTATCTGGAGCATCAGCAATTGTGGGTTCGATTACAGGCTCAAAATGGCCAAAAACAATTAACTTTCTTCTGAAACTCGTCAGTCTATTCTTGTTCTGAGAAATGAAGGCTATTCCATGCGAGAAATTGCCAAGAAACTGAAGATCTCGTACAGCGCTGTGTACTACTCCCTTCACAGAACAGCGCAAACTGGCTCTAACCAGAATAGAAAGAGGAGTGGGAGGTCCCGGTGCACAACTGAGCAAGAGGACAAATACATTAGAGTGTCTAGTTTGAGAAACAGACGCCTCACAGGTCCTCAACTGGCAGCTTCATTAAATAGTACCCGCAAAAAACAACAGTGAAGAGGCGACTCCGGGATGCTGACCTTCTAGGCAGAGTTACAAAGAAAAAGCCATATCTCAGACTGGCCAATAAAAAGAAAAGATTAAGATGGGCAAATGAACACAGACACTGGACAGAGGAAGATTGGAAAAAAGTGTTATGGACAGACAAATCGAAGTTTGAGGTGATCGGATCACAAAGAATAACATTTGTGAGACGCAGACCAAATGAAATAATGCTGGAGGAGTGCTTGATGCCATCTGTCAACCATGGTGGAGGCAATGTGATGGTCTGGGGGTGCTTTGGTGGTGGTAAAGTGGGAGATTTGTACAGGGTAAAAGGGATCTTGAAGAAGGAAGGCCATCACTCCATTTTGCAACGCCATGCCATACCCTGTGAATGGCACTTGATTGGAGCCAATTTCCTCCTACAACAGGACAATGACCCAAAGCACAGCTCCAAACTATGCAATAACTATTTAGAGAAGAAGCAGTCAGCTGGTATTCTGTCTATAATGGAGTGGCCAGCATAGTCACCGGATCTCAACCCTATTGAGCTGTTGTGGGAGCAGCTTGACCGTATGGTACGTAAGAAGTGCCCATCAAGCCAATCCAACTTGTGGGAGGTGCTTCAGGAGGGATGGGGTGAAATCTCTTCAGATTACCTCAACAAATTGACAACTAGAATGCCAAAGGTCTGCAAGGCTGTAATTGCTGCAAATGGAGGATTCTTTGACGAAGGAAAGTTTGAAGGACACAATTATTATTTCAATTAAAAATCATTATTTCTAACCTTGTGAATGACTACATTTCCTATGCATTTTGCTATATTTCCTATTCAAACTAATTTCATGGATGTTTTCATGGAAAACAAGGAAATTTCTATGTGACCCCAAACTTTTGAAAGGTAGTGTACTTTAACCAGGACAAATGCAGAATTAGAAGGAGAGATGCTGGTGCTTCTTAGTTCATATACAAATGCAGATGGAAATCATTATGGAAGGAGCATGTAATGACTGGGGACCATTTAAATCGTTATTACTGTAGAGAGATTCCTGAACTGTACATCATCATGTCTGCCTGACTTGTTAAGTTTTGCAATAAATATTGCATGTATTCCGTATGCATTGTGACCATGTGCATCGTGACTTGAGACCTCTGTCTGTGTATTAGATAAGACTAGATTCTGGTAAATGTTTGGAACAGGAACATTATTGAGGCTCAGTAAATTGTTTTTTTTTAAGACGCTAAGATGTAAATGTGTGTCCCTATGTTCTGTCAGTCAGCTGGCTGCAGCGTACATCAGTGCCACCACAGGAGCTGTAGTCACAGCCCTGGGACTCAAGTCTCTAGCCAAGGTACTGGACTGTCATCTTAGTTCAAGTTGATTTACACTTCGCACATTTGCTTAGCTTTTTTTTTAGCTCCATGAAAAATCTACATTGAAACAAACTCCCTCTCTCCCCAGCGCCTTCCAGCCGTCATGAGCCGGTTCGTCCCCTTCTTTGCTGTAGCGGCTGCCAACTGTATCAACATCCCCTTCATGAGGCAGAGGTGAGCTAGAGTTTAGACACCACAACCAATGTTCCCTTTAAACTGCCCCAGGACTGCAGCGCAGATGAAATCTGAGCCCGCGCAGAGAAGTACGAGTTTAGAAAGTTGAGTGAAGTTCAGAGTTTTCCCCCTGAATCAACGCAATATTATCCACTTGGTCGACCAAGAGTCATCTGTCAAAATTTTTAAACGTGTATTATTTTTTTCTTCCATATAGACTGTGTTTTAATCTAATCAACTATATGCGCTGAGCTTGTCTGACGCTTTAAGCGCTCTGTTTGATGAAATAATTAAGACACACAAATGACTAGAGGGAGTCCGGCAATTGATTTGATTGTGCCGGGCTCAGACTTGCTGCGCTGTGTAAACTTAAAAATAACATAAAAATGACAGCGACTGTGACTAGCACCCGTTGACTCTCTCCTCCCTGCTGCAGCGACCACCACAGAACATCAACAGTGTTCATCGCGCTGTCCGTGTTGCTGAAGCTGCAAAATAATAACAGCCATTTCTGACTGAAAAGTTTTGTACCGAAATCCCTAATTTGTTTAGGGAAAAAAATCCCTATTCCCTCAACCCTTGCTCTCTTTACGTGACACATGTATGCATGTAGTTGGCGAAATGGAACGGTTTATTTATTGTTTACGCTAATTATTCAAGGGTCGCTTTGTTATTTTATTTTAAAACAAAAATGCTTGATTACATTTCAAATCATGAATGACTTGTATGCAACAATATCCTGGTTAACTTTATTATTATGAACATAGCCACATGGTCTAGGAAAAGGCACCAATAAAAACGCAGGAAAAATCATATTTGTTATAAAATATTATTTTTATTAGTGTTGCGCCATTGTCCTTAACCATATACAATTTCAGTACAATGGATTAGTTCACTCAGACAGGCACGAATCAGACTGGTGTCTTGTACACCATGAATTCTTTATTCTTTTTTTTGCTACTGCTCGACTAAAGAAATCTCGGTCGGCCTAAGACTTAGTATGCAAAACGAACTACTGTATGCAAGAGATTTTGTTGTAGGCAGAACGCATCGGAGTAGGATTCTATTGCATTGACACACACGCACGACTCAGCCCATACTCTACACAGACCGGTGCGGTATAACCAATCAGACCTACAGTGGGGAGAACAAGTATTTGATACACTGCCGATTTTTTTGCAGGTTTTCCTACTTACAAAGCATGTAGAGGTCTGTAATTTTTATCATAGGTACACTTCAACTGTGAGAGACGGAACCTAAAACAAAATTCCAGAAAATCACATTGTATGATTTTTAAGTAATTAATTTGCATTTTATTGCATGACATAAGTATTTGATACATCAGAAAAGCAGAACTTAATATTTGGTACAGAAACCTTTGTTTGCAATTACAGAGATCATACGTTTCCTTTAGGTCTTGACCAGGTTTGCACACACTGCAGCAGGGATTTTGGCCCACTCCTCCATACAGACCTTCTCCAGATCCTTCAGGTTTCGGGGCTGTCGCTGGACAATACGGACTTTCAGCTCCTTCCAAAGATGTTCTATTGGGTTCAGGTCTGGAGACTGGCTAGGCCACTCCAGGACCTTGAGATGCTTCTTACGGAGCCACTCCTTAGTTGCCCTGGCTGTGTGTTTCGGGTCGTTGTCATGCTGGAAGACCCAGCCACGACCCATCTTCAATGCTCTTACTGAGGGAAGGAGGTTGTTGGCCAAGATCTCGCGATACATGGCCCCATCCATCCTCCCCTCAAAACGGTGCAGTCGTCCTGTCCCCTTTGCAGAAAAGCATCCCCAAAGAATGATGTTTCCACCTCCATGCTTCACGGTTGGGATGGTGTTCTTGGGGTTGTACTCATCCTTCTTCTTCCTCCAAACACGCCGAGTGGAGTTTAGACTAAAAAGCTCTATTTTTGTCTCATCAGACCACATGACCTTCTCCCATTCCTCCTCTGGATCATCCAGATGGTCATTGGCAAACTTCAGACGGGCCTGGACATGCGCTGGCTTGAGCAGGGGGACCTTGCGTGAGCTGCAGGATTTTAATCCATGACGGCGTAGTGTGTTACTAATGGTTTTATTTGAGACTGTGGTCCCAGCTCTCTTCAGGTCATTGACCAGGTCTTGCCGTGTAGTTCTGGGCTGATCCCTCACCTTCGTCATGATCATTGATGCCCCACGAGGTGAGATCTTGCATGGAGCCCCAGACCGAGGGTGATTGACCGTCATCTTGAACTTCTTCCATTTTCTAATAATTGCGCAAACAGTTGTTGCCTTCTCACCAAGCTGCTTGCCTATTGTCCTGTAGCCCATCCCAGCCTTGTGCAGGTCTACAATTTTATCCCTGATGTCCTTACACAGCTCTCTGGTCTTGGCAATTGTGGAGAGGTTGGAGTCTGTTTGATTGAGTGTGTGGACAGGTGTCTTTTATACAGGTAACGAGTTCAAACAGGTGCAGTTAATACAGGTAATGAGTGGAGAACAGGAGGGCTTCTTAAAGAAAAACGAACAGGTCTGTGAGAGCCGGAATTCTTACTGGTTGGTAGGTGATCAAATACTTATGTCATGTAATAAAAAGCAAATGAATTACTTAAAAATCATACAATGTGATTTTCTGGATTTTTGTTTTAGATTCCGTCTCTCACAGTTGAAGTGTACCTATGATAAAAATTACAGGCCTCTACATGCTTTGTAAGTAGGAAAACCTGCAAAATCGGCAGTGTATCAAATACTTGTTCTCCCCACTGTATATGCAAGTAGACCATTGCCATATATGGATCTGTGCCGTTCTCTTTTGAACTGGATTTACAGCATGAGAGGTCTTGAGTAGATGCGCTTGTTTTGAGATCAAAGCGAGAGCTGCATGTAGCCACGTCTGCACATTTGTTCATATCCTTTGCTAGTTATTGAGTTATTAGCCCAGTTATAGATCATTTGTAGTCCACAATGGGAGTGATTGCTTCCTACAAAAGCACAAAACGTGTACATTTATAGAGTCAGGGAAAATAGCTTTTTTGTCTTCAAGAGGCAGTTGTATTTTGACACAGGCTTGAATAAGTTAAGTAGCCAATGGGCTATGTTGTAGCATGATTTGTCTGATTCTCTGTAATAATGGTATGGGAATAATAATGCATTTATTTTGTTAAGTGATTTCTTAAATAAAACCACACATTTTCAGTCACCTTTTTGTCTAAAAGACAAGTGGATAAACAGGTTAATGTCAAGCCCTGCATGTGTTTTTAAAAGTCTCATGGGATGTAGTCCTACATTAAACACACATTGGCTGCTACTGTAGGCTGAATGATAGAACAGTTATTTCCATGTTAAATGTTATGGGATGCATTTTCTCCATAGTTTTTTATGGTAGGCCACTCTGGTATGCCTACATAATGATCAAATAGCCACAGCAGCCTACTTGACCACTGTCTGAAACTGTAAGTTAAAGCAGGTACAGCCTCAATGTTCACAGTAAACGCGTGCTGGAAGTTGCACAGAATTTTCACAATGTTCAAGTTTGCTCTCAGCAGACCTGAAATTTGCTCAGTGCTGAAAATAATTAGAGGGAACAATGACCACAACTCTTGGTCTTTCTAACTAGGGACAAAGGTTTTCCTTAGCACTGTCTTCTTTGTCAACTCTTTGAGGGGTTAGTACTGTGTTGCTGTCAAACACTTTGTGTTAGATGTATTTGTAAAAAAAAAAAAACTTTATACAAATGTGATTCATTAAACATTGCTATGACAGGTTTGGTTGAATTCCATTCTCTCCTTATTTCCCTCTTCTTAGGGAGCTGAAGTACGGCATTCCAGTGACCGATGAGAAAGGGAACCGGTTAGGAGAGTCAGTCACCGCTGCCAAGTCAGGCATCATCCAGGTGGTGGTGTCCAGGATCGGCATGGCTGTGCCAGCTATGGGTACTGTGTTTCACACATCATGGGTTGAACATTGTTTTGTTTTTCTGGTGGGACACTATGTGACCGAACACCTGGATTTGAATTTGTCTTTTTTTACGTTGGATGAAAGTAGAGACTCAGAGCTAGAAAATTGTATATCATACACTGCAGTTGAGGAAAAATGGGAAAGTAATTCTGCTTTGAAATTTGATACACTTGTAACCTCACTTTTGAGAAAATGGCCCTTGAATGTTTTGGCACACCTGCTGGAGAGCTCTTTGGCTACACCTATTCAGCATCGTTCACACCTTCTGAAGCCTTAGCCCCACCCATCTCTTTAAGGATTCACATGTGAGGCCATGTGCTAAACAGAGTGAGTAAGGTAGTGTAGTAAACAACCAAAGATTTCAAGACTAAAAGTGGTGAAAGGAGTAGCCTACAATAAGGAAAAACTCCAGTTAAAAATACACTTTTATCTAGTCCTTGGCCTATATCCTAATATGACTTTGGTGCAGGTCATGTTCTTCACATTACCGTCTCTGGTAAACGCACACTATATCAAATGAAATCAAAGTTTATTTGATCACATGCACAGGATACAGAAGGTGTAAATGGTACAGTGAAATGGTTATTTGCATAGGAAGTGTCCAGATAAAAAATATTGTATAATTATTAGATGATGTGTACCCAGACACACTTGTCTAAATTGATGGTTCATGTGAAATACATGCTATAATCAACCCCCAGCCACATCTAGCTAAGTGGATGGGGTCACTATTGTCTAGAGATGTACACATGTTCATGAAGTACAATAGATGGCCGTAATCACCCCCAGACACACCTGGCTAACTTGATGGGTCATGTAATCATCTGGCGAAGTGGAGTCTTTTGTTTAGATATGTAGCTAGATGATTAACCATAATCCCAACCCATACTATTCACAATACAAACGGATTGTCATAGCTAGCCACTATGCATGAAATGCTGTAGTATGAATCTGCAGGTAGCTAAAGCTAACAAACTAAGTTAAATGTTAGCTAGCTAACATTAGGCTATAACTAGCAATTCAAATGGCTTCTTCTGATACAAATAATATTACTACACAGATCATACACGTAACGTTAACTAGCGAGCCAGCACGCTAACGTTCGCTAGCCAGTTAACAGTATGCTTTAACTTGCAATGAAAACAACTGACTAAATTAGAAACGTATAATATCTGAAAATGTAGCTAGACTCTTACCCGTGTACATGGATGAATGCTTCACGGCAGACTGGAACCCCTTTAGCTAACTAAGACGTCCTGTGTTGTTTCCAGCTTGTTTGGCCCGCGTTGTGTCAAGTCACTTCGGTTCACACTGACCGTGTGCAGAAAGTAGTCCATCACAACTTTTTCCCACTGGTCTTTGTCGATAGCGCCGGCTAAATTCAGGGCAGCAATGTTGTTGAGGGCAGTAGCAACACTTTTGCAGTTCTCAATAGCTAACGTAATATCTTTCAAAAAAGCAGCGGTAGCAAGGATTATCTACACATACTGAGCAGCTCGTGTTATAGACATAAGCGTGCTACATGGTAGACCAATCCAAACTCCTCTCTCGCAATGTCCAGCCCATCCATTATCTCTGCCAATCATGGCTAGCGGGAAGTTTCCTTTCTTTTTCTGTGGCTAAACCAACTAGGCTTGTGATTTAACAATTGTATTCATATTTACAGATGGCATACAAGTTTGTTATTAAGGCACATGAAGTTCACATGTTCCAGAAGGCATTTCTGCCCCAAAACACATTTTGATCAAAATAAACAAAATATGTGTTGTCTCTTGAAAATTCTCATTGTTTTCTCTCTCTCTCTCTCTCGGTCTGTCCACAGCTATCCCCCCTGTGATAATGAACGCCCTGGAGAAGAAAGCCTTTATGAAGGTAATGTTACAACAGATGGATGGATGCCTGTCATGCTCCCTACAGTCAGTGGGTTTACTGGAGCTGGTACTACGTACAGTCTGTGTGTGGTGGAGAATCTGTGGCATGTAGCCACTGTTGTACTAGGCCTACCCTCTATTTGGAGTTCAAACCACATAATTAAATAGTGTCATTCTATCTGTATTGTTCAGCCATATAAAATATGCTACGCTACTTGTTTGTTGGTGTCATGAGAGGCCAGTGGAAATCCAAGCTTCTGTGTCTTGTCGTGTCTGATATCCTGTGTCGATCCACTAAATCTCTAGCCTGGTCCCAGATCTGTTTGTGCTGTTTTGTCAATTACCATATGAGTAAGCACAAACAGATCTTGGACCAGGCCTGTAAAGCTCTTCAATACTGTCAGTGTAATGTCTGTATACTGTCGGTTGATTTCATAAAAAAGTTGCTCTCACAATTTCTCTGTTCTCTCCTCAGCGGTTCCCAGTCCTAAACGCCCCAGTACAGGTGGGACTGGTGGGTCTGTGGTAAGTATCTATAGTTAATGATACTGTAATCTGTGTTTGTTTTGGTCTATGTTTCATCCATGTTATCAGTCTAAGGGAGTAATTTTCCTCTCTCAATGACATGCGCTGTAAGCAAACTAACCAAAACATGCTATGAAGACTGCACTTCACGATTGCATTCCCTGTACTGCTTGTGTTGCACTGTTTACTTAAACTCTGGTTGAACAAACCTCCTTTTATCTCTATTTCAGCCTGGTGTTTGCAACTCCTCTGTGCTGTGCCCTGTTCCCACAGAAGAGGTAAAGTATGGCCATATGTTACATACCTTAGCTATAGACAGTGGATCTGCTTTTCCTCAACATAACAAAGAGAGTTTCAACGCTCTAATAATCAACATCTATTTCTCTCTCGGACTCTGTTTCTGGCCCCTCCTCTCTCCCTCCCTCTCTGTAGTTCTATGGCTGTGAGCAGCCTGGAGCCAGATCTTCAGGAGAGGATAGGACAAAGCAGTCCCCACACTACCTCCGTCTTCTTCAACAAAGGCCTTTAGGACCACACAATAACACCCACCACGATACTACAGCTCAGTGGGAACAACTGTAAGGGCAAAGCGAATATTATATTTATGCATATTTTTTATTTACCTGTTTGTTAAAGATGTTTGTTGTTCTAGGCTTTTGGATTTTTATTAGGGAGGAGGTGATGGTGAGGGGTGCGTTTCAGTCCTACAAAGTTGCTTCCTTTACTGAAATGATGGAATAAGTGGGTGAATGCCTACCAGTCAAGTTTTTCTCATTGTATACTGAGCAAAAATAAAAACGCAACATTTTCAACGATTTTACTGAGTTACAGTTTGTATAAGGAAATCAGTCAATTTAAATAAATTCATTAGGCCCTAATCTATGGATTTCACATGACTGGGCAGGGGCATAGCCATGGGTGGGCCTGGGAGGGCCAATCAGAATTTGTTTTTCGTCACAGAAGGGCCTTATTACAGACAGAAATACTCCTCAGTTTCATCAGCTGTCCGAATGGCTGGTCTCAGACAATCCCACAGGTGAAGAAGCCAGGTGTGGAGGTCCTGGGCTGGCGTAGTTACACATGGTCTGCAGTTGTGAGGTCGGTTGGATGTACTGCCAAATTATCTATAACAATGTTGGAGGTGGCTTATGGTAGAGAAATGAACATTCAATTCTCTGGCAACAGCTCTGGTGGACATTCCTGCAGTCAGCATGGCAATTGCATCTGTGGCATTGTGTTGTGTGACTAAACTGCATGTTTTAGTGGCCTTTTATTGTCCCTAGCACAAGGTGCACCTTTATAATGATCATGCTGTTTTATCTTGGCAAAAGAGAAATGCTTACTAACGGATGTAAACAAATTTGCGTATGGAACATTTCTGGGATCTTTTATTTCAGCTCATGAAGCATGGGACCAACACTTTACATGTTGCGTTTATATTTTTGTTCAGTATAGATGCAGGAAAGGAGTCAAGGGGAGGAAGCTTCTTCTAAGTAATGAGACGCAGGCGAGCGTAGTGTGACAGATGGTTATCTTATACTGCTACATTGACAAACAGACTATGGTTTGATTTGGGTTCAGTTTTTGGTGTGTTTATCCTCCCTGGGGTTTTGGGTTGTTGGTGTTTAATTACTGACTGCTCTGAATGTTACTGAATTTCTAATCTTATCAAATCACCCCAAACTAGATACAGTTCATCCCTCGTATTCGACCCCAGATTTTAAAAAAATATCCCCAAAGTGTATTTGTTTATTTCCCTTGTGTTTGAGATCGTACCCTTTTCAGCTGTGTGCACTGAAACCATTCATGACTTGCAATTAGAAAATAGTTAAATTTAATCTGCTAGATAGATATCCACTCCCTCAAGTTGGCGCAACTGTAGTCTGTAGTAAAATACAGCAGTTGGTTTATGAGCACAATATAGACTGACCCGTTATAAAATTCCTTTTTGGGTCTACCAGGGTTTTGTTTTTCATTGCAAAACGTGTTGCTTCAGTGTGCCCTAATGAACATTGTCCAGTTGACTAGCACAGCTTCCCTCTCTCACCACTGCCCTTGGAAGTGTACTGTCCCACCAGGTAACCTTATTAACCCCTCTCACCCCAGTGCACCGGGTAACCCTGTGCGTTTTGTGTTACCAAGAAAACCTTTAAAGATGCAATGACACTGTGTGGGCACTCCTTACTGAGATTTCAGTAAGCACATTCCTAGTTGCACTGATGACAATTTATAGGCCAGCAGAAAGGTTTATCTAGGACAGGATCTAGGCCCAATGTTTCTGTCCCATATGAAGGCCTTTCGGCAGGTAGCCTAGTGGCTAAAAGCGTTGGGCCAGTAACCAAAAGGTCACTGGTTCGAATCCCCAGGCTGACTAGCTGAAGAATCTGCTGAAGGTGCCCTTGAGCGAGGCTCTTAACCCTAATTGCTCCTGTAAGTCACTCTGGATAAGAGTGTGTACTAAATGATATACATATTTTCAGTACCAGTCAAAAGTTTGGATACACCTACTCATTCAAGGGTTTTTCTTAATTTTTACTATTTTCCACATTGTAGAATAATAGTGAAGACATCAAAACTATGAAATAGCACATATGGAATCATGTAGTTACCAAAAAATATATTTGAGATTCTTCAAATAGCCACCCTTTGCCTTGATGACAGCTTTGCACACTCTTGGCATTCTCTCAACCAGCTTCACCTGGAATGCTTTTCTAACAGTCTTGAAGGAGTTCCCACATATGCTGAGCACTTGTTGGCTGCTTTTCCTTCACTCTGCCGTCCGACTCATCCCAAACCATCTCAATTGGGTTGAGGTCGGGGGATTGTGGAGGCCAGGTCATCTGATGCAGCACTCCACCACTCTCCTCCTTGGTAAAATAGCCCTTACACAGCCTGGAGGTGTGTTGGGTCATTGTCCTGTTGAAAAACAAATGATAGTCCCACTAAGCCCAAACCAGATGGGATGGCGTATCACTGCAGAATGCTGTGGTAGCCATGCTGGTTAAGTGTGCCTTGAATTCTAAATAAATCACAGACAGTGTCACCAGCAAAGCACCCCCACAACATAACACCACATGCGGAGATCATCCGTTCACCTACACAGTGTCTCACAACGACACGGCGGTTGGAACCAAAAATCTCAAATTTGGACTCCAGACCAAAGGACAAATTTCCACCGCTCTAATGTCCATTGCACGTGTTTCTTGGCCCAAGCAGGTCTCTTCTTATTATTGGTGTCCTTTAGTGGTGGTTTCTTTGCAGCAATTCGACCATGAAGGCCTGATTCACACAGTCCCCTCTGAACAGTTGATGTTGAGATGTGTCTGTGACTTGAAATCTGTGAAGCATTTATTTGGGCTGCAATTTCTGAGGCTGGTAACTCTAATTAACTTATCCTCTGCAGCAGAGGTAACTCTGGGTCTTCCTTTCCTGTGGCGGTCCTCATGAGAGCCAGTTTCATCATAGCGCTTGATTGTTTTTGCGACTGCACTTGAAGAAACTTTCAAAGTTCTTGAAATGCTCCATATTGACTGACCTTCATGTCTTAAAGTAATGATGGACTGTCGTTTCTCTTTGCTTATTTGAGCTGTTCTTGCCATAATATGGACTTGGACTTTTACCAAATAGGGCTATCTTCTGTATACCCCCCCTACCTTGTCACAACACAACTGATTGGCTCAAACGCATTAAGAAGGAAAGAAATTCCACAAATTAAATTTTAAGAAGGCACACCTGTTAATTGAAATGCATTCCAGGTGACTACCTCATGAAGCTGGTTGAGAGAATGGCCCCGTGTAGCTCAGTTGGTAGAGCATGGCGCTTGCAACACCAGGGTTTTGGGTTTGTTTCCCATGGGGGGCCAGTATGAAAAATGTATGCACTCAGTAACTGTAAGTCGCTCTGGATAAGAGCGTCTGCTAAATGACTAAAATGTAAAAAATGTAAAAGAGTGTGCAAAGCTGTCATCAAGGCAAAGGGTGGCTATTTGAAGAATCTCAAATATAAAGTATATTTTTATTTGTTTAACACATTGTCGGTTACTACATGATTCCATATGTGTTATTTCATAGTTTTGATGTCTTCACTATTATTCTATAATGTAGAAAATAGTAAAAATTAAGAAAAACCCTTGAATGAGTAGGTGTGTCCAAACTTTTGACTGGTAGTGTATGTACATTTGAAAATATCATTATATTATCAATGTTTTGTGTGTCCCCCGTCCCCCTTTAGACTGCTCATTATTCTGTTACAATAGAGAAGGGAAAGAAGAGTTGGCTTGCAGTGCTGACATACAGACCTAGACGCGTGGTGGTACTAATGTATGCAACAAGAGGCAAGGGTGCATATATGAATCCCAATCTGTATGATGTCAGGTTTAGATTAATTGTGTTGTGGTGATGTATACCAAATAATATTGTTTTAATGAAACAAAAGCAAAGTTGTGAGAACAAGGGTCTGAAACTACTGGCTGGCTGACAAAAAGTGGCTCCTAAGCTGATTTAATGTGACCTGCAGTTGTATTAGTAAATGCAGCACGCGGTCATAAAAAGTTTGACACCTGTCTTAAACGCTTGAGCAAAAATAAATCATCAATCAATTATAGGACAGTTGGAAGTAATGCTGGGAACTTTAGTTCCTGTGTGGAAAAACTGGGCTTAGTTGGAGCATCCCTGATCAAACCTGTATATTAATGTTTTTAATATATAGATGTCAACAGTGTAGTATTAATATGGTTGTTAATGCGTGGTCAAATAGTACTAGACTATTTCATAGTACAGTATCAACTGAATTTAACTTTGTGTGTTCGAAATAGGGTATACAGTGAGGGAAAAAAGTATTTGATCCCCTACTGATTTTGTACGTTTGCCCACTGACAAAGAAATGATCAGTCTATAATTTTAATGGTAGGTTTATTTGAACAGTGAGAGACAGAATAACAACAAAAAAATCCAGAAAAACGCATGTCAAAAATGTTATAAATTGATTTGCATTTTAATGAGGGAAATAAGTATTTGAACCCTCTGCAAAACATGACTTAGTACTTGGTGGCAAAACCCTTGTTGGCAATCACAGAGGTCAGACGTTTCTTGTAGTTGGCCACCAGGTTTGCACACATCTCAGGAGGGATTTTGTCCCACTCCTCTTTGCAGATCTTCTCCAAGTCATTAAGGTTTCGAGGCTGACGTTTGGCAACTCGAACCTTCAGCTCCCTCCACAGATTTTCTATGGGATTATGGTCTGGAGACTGGCTAGGCCACTCCAGGACCTTAATGTGCTTCTTCTTGAGCCACTCCTTTGTTGCCTTGGCCGTGTGTTTTGGGTCATTGTCATGCTGGAATACCCATCCACAACCCATTTTCAATGCCCTGGCTGAGGGAAGGAGGTTCTCACCCAAGATCTGACGGTACATGGCCCCGTCCATCGTCCCTTTGATGCAGTGAAGTTGTCCTGTCCCCTTAGCAGAAAAACACCCCCAAAGCATAATGTTTCCACCTCCATGTTTGATGGTGGGGATGGTGTTCTTGGGGTCATAGGCAGCATTCCTCCTCCTCCAAACACGGCGAGTTGAGTTGATGCCAAAGAGCTCGATTTTGGTCTCATCTGACCACAACACTTTCACCCAGTTCTCCTCTGAATCATTCAGATGTTCATTGGCAAACTTCAGACGGGCATGTACAGTGGGGAAAAAAAGTATTTAGTCAGCCACCAATTGTGCAAGTTCTCCCACTTAAAAAGATGAGAGAGGCCTGTAATTTTCATCATAGGTACACGTCAACTATGACAG